GCCTTGTAAATGAAATGAATTAGTGTTAAAGATTAGCAGTTTTAACAAGTTTAATTTAACAATTTAATTTAACAGCTATCGATCGAAGCCATTGCCACAATCCGCAATCCTGCCTTAGACAGAATGTGACACACTGTTCTGATTGATCCAATTTCACTCTGATATCTGTCAATAGACAATAGTAGATTTAACAAGAATGAACTTGAGGTTAAAATGACGCTTCTCTCCTGAGCTACAATCACGCAGCGTATACTTTGTGTTATGTACATTTTCACGCGGACAAACGTCAATAGCTGAATGACTTATATGAACTACTGCTTACTGCCTGACATGTAATGGATAGCATTTTTTGTACTATGCAAAACTGCAAGCAATGTTCGTTTATAAATAATTCTTTGAAACTCTCCGCGGATAAGGATAACTAGAGACCGGAAAAGTCTTCTTCAGAAGTTGTATAGAATGACCCTTTACTTTATCATCCTACAACATCTACATAAACTTTTCAAGTCGTTCTTCATAAGTAACTCTGTATGTGCCATTCACTTTGCTGTTGATCCCCATATTCAGTTCCATGTTCATGAAGACAGGCCAGTGATTTAACGAAATGCTGACGTTAGACTTCCAGATGTTTTTAAGAAAGGTAATTAACTGGCGTAGTCTTCGCTTTGAGGGGGAAGACATAATACGCGCTGTTTTGCATTACACGAAACTATCAGTCCATCATATAATAGACTGAAGTCAAATAAGAGCCCGGAAGTGACGCGGGAGCTCGCTCAGGTATGTTGAAACGGCGGTGTTGCTCGCCAGTCACCAGTGGCATCTGTCCGTGACCAAAACCTGAAAAAATGTTCCACTTCCCCATATCTTCCGGGCTGAATGAAGGTTCGGGAAACGTTGGCAACAGTTCACGAGGTTTGGCACCACGAACGAACTGTCGAACAATTACTAGCTAAAAAATGCTGACCGAAACAGGAATTAATTAGTATACGCAATGAGGTCTGCTGCGCCATTCGTGATTTGTGATAATCAACCTTCATAGTTTGTCTTCAGGAGACCGAAAACACTGGGTACGAATATCCCTCCCAACTGAGAGATCAGTATTAGACACAGACTGATGTTTCATCCTCCGCGGAACATACTGGCTTTGCATAGTAACATAGAAGATCATGATAACATTCTAGACTTACCAACAGCACCTATTCAAATGCGCTATGAACACGAATGACATAATATGACTATGCAAATAGACATCATAATACCGTAAAAAGTGCTAAATTTTAGAACCGAGTCCTCAAACCAGGCAAACCGATGGTGGCCTAAGACAGATCGATGGACAAAGCCAAAGAACGGACTGGAGCAATGTGTTATCGCATCTTAGAACCATGGTAAACGCGCCTCAAATTGGAGTCTCACCCAAAGAATCTCCACATGCCGCTAATCCACCAGCTGTGCCAAGGCTGATAACTCAGCGTCAACGCGAACCAATCAGTAAAGCAATGGTGGAAGAACAGATCGGCAAAATAGGTAAGAGTGGTGTGAGCAAAACGAAAAAATTTCAGGCAATAAAATTTAAGTTAGAATGCATCTAAAAGTTTAGCCTTCACCTGCTTATTGCTAAATGCTGAACTGAAATTATTAAGACTAACAAATTAGCTGATGTAGACAGTTACAACGAAGCTTCACGTAAGCACAAACAATGTCACATTCGAAAATGATGTCTGACATGGAGAGGAAGTATCACCGAAACCCTAGAAAAGGCAATCGAAAAACTCAATTGGGAAAATCAGGGACTGCACATAAATAGATCCTAATTAAACCACTTAAGGACGACATTCGGACCGTCCTGTCAGTGCTACCAGAAGAACTCCAAAGGGAAATCTACTAGCTGAAGCACGTCAACCTCAAAGTATAACTGATAATTAACCTGAAGAATACAGGTTATGATTAACGAGTATGTTAACACGTGAGGTGTTAAGTCAATGGACTTAGGCCTGAAGAAATGCAAAACTTATACCTGAGAGTGTTCATTTCTGAAATTTACAACCGACGCTGCGAAAGCAATATCATAGATGGCTCAATGTGACCGACGGCTAAAGACCAAGATGACGTTTGACTGCAACAAACACTGAACACAAAGTAACACCAGTGAATCACGTAATACCAAACGTTATAAGCATATTTTCTACAGTCTACGTGTTTCCGAGTTGAGAAGTAACAGATGCGACATTTTGTGCACATGTTGTGAAAGCTTATTGAGGGGAAAACGAAACTACTACTTGTTCAGCCGAAAGGTCGAAGACCCAAGATATCGCCAAGAATAACCTGGGGTAAGCAACAGGACCAGGAACGTTGGAGACATTGTATGACGCGCTTACCCCTCCGCGACACATAAGGATAAACGGTCAGAAAACTGACTGACCGACACTGTATACTTTCTG